TTAATGGAATTATATTGGATTATTTATGCAATTTATATTATACATTGTATTGAATCTCTTGTGCCATTTATACATTTAGTTTGTTTGTAAATTATGATAGAAAGTAGAGCCCGACCGATATGGGTTTTTTGGGGCCGATACGATACTGATATTAGGGAGTAAAAAAAGGCCGATATCGATATATCGGCCGATATTCTTTGTGTATATTATAGTACAATACCAGTCAAAAGTATCAATTGACTGGTACTATATACAGAATAGAGTATATACATAAACAGAATATATATATACTGTATATATTATATATATATAAACACATTTTTTGCAATGATCACTCAAATGTGGTGATCAAACACTTATAATGACGTGACAGAGATATGTAATGGAGGCAGGGCATTTAACAATTTAATAATAAACTTTATTATCCAAAATGAGGCTGACATCAGTGCACTGAACAGTAAAGTTGAAGTTTATTCAACTTGAACATTTTTAACATTCTAGCAGACACTATACCAACAAAGCACAATTTAACTTAAAATGAATAAGTGTGTAAAGTAATAAATTTTGGCCATCTTGAATCAGGCATGTTTTGTTTTGTTTTTTTACTGCACAATTAAAAGCAGCCTTGCTGAGAAGAGACTTCTTTTAAAACATTAGAAAATATTACAGATCCTAATTTGAACACGATGTGTGAATGTTATAATAAATGTATTAAAACAGAGCTATTGTAATGATTATTATCATTATTATTGTCTTACTTTTTATTTTATTTTACAGAACAACAATAAAATTACAATACTAACATTTATGAATGTTGATAAGAGCTCTTGCTTTTTCTCAACTTTTATTTTTGCGGAAACGCACAGGAAGACCTCAATGCATCTCATTACGAATTTGTTGTACGTATCGCATTGTCACATGCCTTGTAAAAATGCATAAAAATTTGACTGAGCAACGGACGACTGTATCAGCGCAGATTTTCCTCACGCTTTGAACTTTGAACCCTGGTTAACAAGCAGATAGCACTGCGAGGTCCTGCAGCGCTGTCAATATAAATGCAATGCGCGTGTATTAGAAAACATAACGTTCTGCAGTTTATTTACTAATTGTTTAAGGCCATTTCGAGATTTCAATCATCATACAGTAACCAGCAACAATCACCCCTTCCTCTTCTCATTGAAGACATGCGATCCAGTACTAAACAGCTGTCGGTGCTTGTAATGATTTTTGCGTCTTTCTCCGAATGCTTCCACAATGCTTCTCTATAAATGCTTCCACACTGCTGACGTGTGTGCTGCATAATAAAGAGTGCGCGCCTCTCACTCTGCGCTGGTTGCTATTTGATCGCGTCATATCATTGTTCGGTACAATATATTCGGCCTTTTCGCTTATTCGGTTCGGTTGCCGAACATTCGGTGCATCACTAAATATAAATTCACTTCTCGCGCACTTTAATACCCTTTGAATGTAACATGTACATTCCCTTGGAACTGGAATCATGGCGGAATTTCATGTGAAGTCCACTTCGCAGGGCACTTACGGTCGAATAAGACCACGCTTGAATGCTGCTGCCTGAACAAGAGACCTCCTTACTGAAGTGAAAGTGTTGACTGGTGTCACTATCTCGCGAACACGCCGGTGGATCTCCACCAAATTCGGGGGTTCCCTTCAGCTCAAGGAGGAGGGTTCCTCGAGCTGAAGGAATCCCCCGAATTTGGTGCGGATTCGCCGTGCCAATACGGAGATATGGCCGTTCAAAGTTTCAAAAGTTTTCCATAGACTTAAGCTTTAAAGCGTTTCATCCAGGTCGCCAATAGCAAACAATGGCGCGTGCGCTCTGCTGGACAAACTAAGTAATTACACCATTTCAAGCATTTTATCTGCGTTATATGTTCTGTAAAAAAATGCTCATATCGGCGGCATATTCGCCGATACCGATATATCGGCGACAAGCTCATATCGGCAAAACGATATATCGGTCGGGCTCTAATAGAAAGGCCCTTTTTATGGATCATTAACACAAATTGCTTAACACAATAATTACTTAAATATGCTTTTATCGTATATATAACAGCAACTTCATCAAAATTTGTCCTTTTGTGTTCCATGGATAAAGGTAAATCTTACGGGCTTGAACCACACAAAAGGGTAAATGATGACAGAATTTTAATCTGGGGTGAACTGTCTCTTTAAGGAGCTCAAAGCAATTTACCCTGCAAACAGAAGTGTAATTAATCTCAGAGCAGAGAGTTCATCACTTACATAACATACTTCTTAGCATTGTATGTAGGTTTACAAAAAAGAACAAAGAAGGAAAGAACAAGATAAAGAGCACCGTGAGAGAGGTGAATTGTGGAACAAGCAAATTGAGAGAGAGAAATTGAGGACACAATCTGTGTGTCTAAAAACCCAGGATGTACTGTAAATCAGAGAGTATGTCCTCGTTCTGCTCGACTATGTGCGCATTATTATTTTTGCTTCAGTATATATACTCTAGACGCTGTAGTGCTCATACATTACCATAGTCTGATGATGAAACTAATTAAGTCAGCTGTACAAGTAATTTCCTTGTGTTGGGCAATGTGTCTTCTAGCCTAGTCTCAAATTGCACACCCAAGACCACCCATAATCCATTCACTGACCATCTGATGCATTTTGCACACAAAACTAGCAAGAGCTGGCTTGAATTGCTGGTTAAATCTCTTTGGCTGACATTACACAACCTCCAAGTGTAAGAGCACTCAGGTGTTTTAATCATTCTGTCTGGAAACAAAGTCATAATTGATCTGGATTGATCCTTATGACATTTTGTCAAAGATCTGGCTATACGAGACTACTTTCAGCCTAACTTTGAGTGTTAACAGCTGTTGACTAGCATCACAATAAAATCTATTAATCTTTATGGCTTCTATTTAGTGTGTTAATCCAATGAAAACATGGAAAATTTGATTTGAATGTTGATTTATTCTCGATTTCATCTGCACATACAATAGTTTCACTAAAACAAACCCTAAGATATCCTCTTCCAATTAGACTGCCTATAAACAAGTCTCACTTTCAGCAAAAAAAGAAAGAGAGTGAGAGTCTGGTGTCTAATTTAATTGATCCTGCCTGGGAGAAGGGAAGCACAGTGATTTAGACAGTAAGTGGGGTAAAAAGTGCACAAAGGGCTTTTATTTGTCTTCATCACCCCATTTCCTTTTCCCATAATCATTCAACAGTTCTTTTTTCCTGCCTGATTCGCAGCAGCAGTGTTGTCAGGTAGAATTATTTATCTCTGTCTCACTGACATAAGCTTACTGACTCTTAACAACTAACCCTATTTATTAGATACCTAAAACTAAAACCAGAAAAAAAATGTGTTACTTGAAAGAAAATACATGTTATCTGATGAAAAACTGACTAAAGCTTTAAAATGAAATAAACAAAAATAAAATTTCTAAATATAAAAAAAAACTATAACAGTATTTTAACGATAACTAAAATAACACTGATCCTAACCCTACAATAAATCTTAACCTTTAATTTATAACTTACCTTGCACCGTTTATGCTATGGACGTGAATGATACCTTAAATTATTCAGCTTGTTGAGGAGAAGTGTGCTGTACTAAGACTTTATATTTTTCACCTATTTTCACCTAAGTCAGACCTATCAAACTAAAAATTTTGGAATTTCTGTGAATTAAATTTGATCAATTGTGGCAACAATCTGTTAACATTGGCTCAATAAGAAATATGTTGAGCCAATGGAAACATTTTGTTTACCGAACAATGTTGTTGGTGTAATTAAATGTTTTACATTTCTCAACTATTTCTCACTGTTCCAAAATAAAAACAGAAATACATTAAACAAAATACAGAACACAGACAAAAGAGTTGACATTTTATCACTTTTTTTTTTGCAAATCTATTCCATATTTAGTGAAAATATCTAATTTTAAATAAGGGAAAACACTGAATACGTTCAAAATGCATAATAGGATGTCTTGATGTGGTGAAGAAAACTTTCAAAAGGGGCACTGCATAAGTTGAAAACCTGTTAAAAAAATGTTGCATCAAATATTGCATCAAATTAACATCGCAGAACTCAATCTAACAGTAAATGACATGAGGAAATGCATGAACTCGCAATTCTGCATAATGCCATGTAACTTTATACAGGGTCCTAACACAAAACCTTTGGAGAATAATTTTAGTGCTCAATACTCACCATAACGTCTTAAAAGTCTGGGATTGATGGTTGTTTCGGTCTCCAGCCGATTCAGCTCCACTTGCTCTCCCACGCATCCACACTTGAATTCACCATAGTGGGTCTTCCTCAAGTGCATGTTGTGCATGTGTATACAGTTGTTTGGATGTAGGACTTGTTTAGCCAACAGGTTTTTTACTTAGACTTCGATTGCCTGAGCACTATTAAATATGTTCAGTGAATATAAATGTTTAATTGTAACTAAAAACCTTAAGATATGATTACCACAATGCATCTTTTTGTTTGGGGATAATTATTTGGAAGTCATTCATTGAGTCAGTATGCATTTGTAAATTTCCACAATTTTGCAAAAAAAAATTGTGCAGTGTAGGAAACACTTTAAAATCACTTCTCCATAACAAACACATGGCAAATGCTAGCAGCATTGCTAGTGAACACCCTAGCATTGTGATGGCAAGTTTTGCATGTGTAGCACCATAAATTGCATTAATATTGTTTCTCTGGAAATTAAATTGGTAGAGAGAACTTAGCAGTGCTCAGTGTTTGGGGCCACCAAATATGTTTTGTTTGTGAATGTCAAACAGGAGTGTTTACGAGGAGTGTTATTTCCCTTTGGAATTAAAAATGTCACAGAACATGATATTACTGTATATCAGCATGCATATTAATCCAGAATGAGTGGTGTGGGCGAGCAATACATATTCACACAATGTGCAATGTGTTTTGACTGTGCATAACTGGATTTAAGTTGATCTGTAACCCCTCTCATTCTTTCTGTTTCTCTTAAGGGCAGGGTAGGCCATGCCATTCGGCTGTTTAAAACCTGGCGAGAAGAAGGACTACAACAGTCCAACAGAGATCACAGACAAATATGATCTGGGACAGACTGTTAAATCGTAAGTAAAATGTGTTTTGTGCAATCCGTTCCCTATATTTTTGCATGCAATTTGCAGAAGTTGTTCTCGAATTTACTTTTTTTTATGAATAATGTGCAGTCAGCCAGCCAGCAATTATCACAAAATATATCCAGACAGGCTCTTGTATCATCCCAAAGAGGTTTATTGTGATAATCGACTGACTGTGCATTATCCCTCTAATTATACTGCTATTTACTAAATAAATAAATAGATATAAAATATTGATTTGATTATGTGAGTCTATGGAATGTAATGAGATGAAACTATGAACATGAAACTAGTACAGTGTAGGAAAGTTATAGAAAATGTTTTACCAAATGATGTGACTGACCATTTAGAATAGAGATTTCAAGCTGTGTATAAAGACTTTATACTGTAATTCACAGAAAGTTAATTTTTGTGTGTACTATTCACTATTAATTTCACTCTAAATTATAATGTAATTAGTGCAATAAATTCACTTTCTTCTCAAGGGAGGAGTTCTGTGAGATCTTCAGGGCAAAGGATAAGAACACACTGAAAATGTACACCTGCAAAAAATTCCTGAAGAAAGATGGAAGAAAAGTGCGGAAGGCTGCCAAAAACGAGATTCTCATCCTAAAGATGTGAGTTACACACAGTTTTCTTTTTCAAAACCCTTCACAATCGTTTTGTAGAATTGGATTTTCTCTGCTGTCCTCAGGTCTGCTATTTTGATTTAATTTGGTTTAAGTAGAATCATATTTTTTTATCATAATTTTCATTCATGAAGAATGATTCTTAAAGCTCCATTAAACTTTCATGACTCCAAAAAGTGATTTTTCCTTTTCGCAAATCATTTGTAACAAATTGTAATAGATGCATTTATTAATAATTTATTTTCACTGCATAAGGTCTAAAAAAAAAAACAATGCAAATATGTGAGTGCAAACTTGTAGCTACTGTACATAATCTTGATTTGAAGAAGTTTAATCACACAGAGATTTGAGGTTTTGTAAGAGTATTGAACATACTGTTTCAGTTTCAAAAAACCCATATAATATAGCTTGCAAAATTTTTTTTTTTTAGATTTAGTAAAAAGTGAAACCACACAGTGGATTTTAACAAAAAAGCTTCTCAACTTTGTGGAGCCATGCATAGCCTATGTTCAATATAAAAATTTTCAGTCCTTTCAAAAGAGGGAAAGTACACAAAACACCTAATGATGCAACACATTTCGTTAAATAAACCAAACATGTAAAATCCTTAAGATATCAGATATAAATGCTTTGCACAATGTATGATTACATATGATTATACTGCATCTAAAAGGCTGATCTACCGTGAGCAGAGTCACTGATGTCACTTTGATTTTGCAGTGCTACGTTTGTGTCCCGCTCACAAATCACAACAGCTCATAAATAACACATAAAAGAAATGTCACTTTTAGAATGAGCAGGTTTTTTATGGGTTCACCTTTAGTTCCTCTCACTATTGCTGGTGCACATTAATGTCTTCAAAGCATAATCAGTGTATTAATTTCTTAATGCAAAAGTTGGCTGACATAACCACCTTTACAAAATTCTGAAACACTTCTTTATAGTGTCCATGTTACATGAATGTTTAATGAATAAAATGATACTATTATACGTGCTCGAATGTAATATGCTTAAATGCAAGCAAACGTCTGCTTTGTTACATCTGCTATTCAGTTCATCTTGTTTTATTTAAATAGGACTTTTTCATAATAAGAATAATGCGTTACAAACACTCCAGTGATTAGCCAACAACAACAGTGGCAATGAAAAAATTATTACACAAAGCATACATACATAAATGCTGATTTGAACAGATGTGATTCAGCCACAGAACATAAATGATAATACTGACATTTGTTGTTTAATTAAATATGATTATAGCGGATATAGGAATCCATGTGATATGCAAATAGTAGGGATGCAGGCGTGTATGACTGGTGTTGGATGACTCTGCGGTGGCAGATGGGACACGAGTGTGGGGTTGATGGCAGGCTGGGATAAATCTGGGCACAAAGCTACATGTGTATCAACCTCCTGTGTGCCACAAACTGTCTCCTAACTGATTGTCTATCTCTCCTCCTCAGGGTGAAACACCCCAACATCCTCCAGCTGGTCGATGTCTATGAGACCCGGAAAGAGTACTATCTTTTCCTTGAGCTGTAAGTACTGAAATCAGTTTATGAGGATTTTTTTTAACTGTACAGGGAGGAGTGTAATGATTTCAGTACTTTGTACCAATATCAGTGAAATTTATTGGCACCCCCCCAAAAAAACTAATTTACTGTTCAGCATATTCATATTAAATATTTTATTTAACCATTTTAAAAGTTAAATATTAATGCAAATTATTAATTATAAGTTAAAAAGCATGTGGCCAACAAATATTTAAAAATAAATTAAACATGGCCTCAAAAAAGACAAAATAACAAATGAGAAGCATAACAAAGAGTGTTTGAAATTTTCCATTATGTAAATTTAATGGGAATTATTGACCCTGTAAATCTGACATGAAAAAGTAACCAGAAAAATCTTATTTTTTGAAATGGAAGTTTTTTGAACATTTAAACGAAATATAAAAAAACAATCTTAAAAAATAAAGTTAGCATATGTGTTTTTGTATTGAAATTGACGTTTTTTGAACATTTAAACGAATTATTAAAAAAACCATCTTAAAAAATAAAGTTAGCATATGTGTTTTTGTATTGAGAGTCGTATTTTATATGTTATGTTTTTTTGTATATTCTCATATACTCTAGTATGATATAGTGAGAGTATGGAGCTGGTACTCGAGGAAAAAAACACCTGTTTGGTGCAGTTGCTGATATTAGGTGACGAAAAAAAATAAGATGAAATTCTGATTGCTTGTAATGTAAATCAGTGAGAACTAGGGATGCTCCGATCAGGATTTTTGCAGCCGATACTGAGTACCGATTTGTTGTCATGGTGATCGGCCGATACCGATGCCGATTCTGATGCTTCAAGCTTTAGATGGTTTGATCGGGCGCACGCGCCTGACTCGAGGTTAACTTCCGGTCTGTGTATGTTTATCAGTCTGGATATGGCGCCGGCTACAAAAGCAGTTAAAGTTAAGGTGATGAGTAGTGTAGCGTCTGCGTAGGATCATGCATGAGCGTTGGACTGTTTATGGCTTAAAAGACCCCTTTTAGCCTTTTGACATTTGCATATAAATTACAGTTCTGGTCAGAAACTTTACGTTCGTATAGGG